AAATGTGATTGGACACACAAGGAATTTGTCTTGGTGCAAATGCTCTCGGTGTAAGTAGAATAGGAATAGGAATAGGAATAGAATAGAATAGAAATAGAATATACAGTAGAGTAGAGTGAAGAGAATGCAGAATAGAACAGAACAGAATAGGAATAGGAATAGAATTCTTTATTGGCCAAGTGGGATTGGAGACACAAGGAATTTGTGGGTAGGTGGGTTGTTGTCGGTTTTTTTCTGTTTTCTTTTTCTGCAACCTGCAAAAGCGCAGGAATTAGAAAGGGAAAAAAAAAAAACACCCAGCTGGAATGGGAAGGAGCGCAAATCAGCTCATTGTCCAATTTATAAGAAGCCAGTCCCTTAAAATGGACGCACAGGATTGCTGAATGCAGATTGGGGGGGGTTTTGGGGGGGGGGGGGATCAAGTTAAACCACAATTGACTCAGAGGGGAAGAAAGGAAGGACACGGATTGCGTAGCTTGGCGAGTCAACAAACATTTAACCCCGTCTGTCTCTCTATGACCCCTCATTCGGCTTGCTCTGCGTCCTTGCCTTCGTTGTGAATTGTTTCAAAGGAGCAGAGAAATGGGAGAACGAAGTTTAAATTGCCAAGGGGGGGTGGGGACAAACAAAACAAACCAAGATGCCAAACCCCCAGGACTGGATCAGAGTTGATCTAACAGCAGCTACAGAAAGCAACGGAGTTTGCGGGGTTGGGTTTGGCCCAAATAACTTCCCTGGATTGTGAGAATGTAGCCGGCATTGGGTGGCTGAGGCTACGCTGTTGAGATTAGCCTCCGTTTGACTTCACTGCTCACCTAACCAGGCTTCCCCAGCAGAACCAGGTTTTATCCAAGATCTGTGGAGGGATAGAAGCTGTTTTTCAGCCTATTTGTCCTTGTTTTTATTATCCTGTACCGTCTGCCAGATGGTAATAGTTTAAAAAAAAAAAAGAAAGGGGTGCCCAGGATGAGATGGATCTTTGAGAATTTCCAAGGTTTCCATCTCTGGAAAATCCAAGGGATGGAAAGAAAAAAAACAATTCAGACCTTGAGCAGGTCCCGTCGCAAAGTTATTTTTATTTGCTTTTTTTCAGCTAGTGTCCGGTGGGTTGAACCCATTTTTTCCCCGGTCGCTGGATTTTCCGGTTTACAAAACAAGGGAATATTCCTGAACTCAAATTTCATCTAGGCAAGAGATGGAATGAGGCAACTTCAGGCCAAAGCCGTCAAACTTCAACAAGTATAATTCAAGTCAGACATTTATAGTCTATTACGCCAAAGACTCCCATTCACTGCGAAAGCAGACCTGCCAAAAATGATGTAAAGCTAACAGGAAAATCGGCTTCATTGCGTGAACGAAATCCACGGAACTGAAACCAAACAAAACCACCGAATGCAAAATTTTCTCTACCGACTGATTCAAGTTCTACAGACTTTTTCCTCCCCACAAGCCCTGTTACCAGCTTGCAAAGTTTTACCAATGGATGACCCTAAACACAAAACAAGATTCTACACAGTGGTGGGATTCATTTTTTTTTTTTAACTACCAGTTCTGTGGGCGTGGCTTGGTGGGCGTGGCAGGGGAAGGATACTGTAAAATCTCCATTCCCTCCCCGCCCCACTAACCTGCTTTCCAGCTCCCTTCTCCTGTGAAGGGCAACCAAAGAAGACCCAGCCGATCAGCTGGGACTCAATGGGAGGCAGAGAAGAGATGGGATCGATGGGGCCAGTCAGAAATGGGATTGGCCGGTTCTCCGAACAACTCAAATTTCACTACCGGTTCTCCAGAACTGGTCAGAACCTGCTGAAGACCACCTAGTCCTTATCATATTAAACCAACAACCTCTTTAAGAAATAGGAGAACTAGACTAATAGTTCGATCCTAGACTAATATTTCAATATTCCAATTCCTTAGTCTTAGCCGCTGAGCCACCGCGTCCCTACATAAAGGTATAAAACCTTTTCATTAATGCCTAATACACGCTAAAAAATAAGAATGGGCATTCACACCAACAGTGCTGACCAGCCTCTTTTAATGACTGGAACTACAGGCTGAAAATACTGCACCGTTTCCCCATTTCAAACAAAGTTAGCAGCTGGCAGAGCTAAAGAAGAAGTGATGCTTTTAATCATGAGTTCATGATTAAACGATTTTTTTTTTTATGGATCTTCTACACTGAAAGGCTGAAGTGACATACGAATGCTTTTCACACAACCATCGAGGCATCTTCACAGTCACGTGATCAAAATTCAGACACTTGGCCACCGACTCGGATTTACGACGGTTGCAGTGGCCCGGAGGTCACGCGATCCCCTTTTCCGACTTTCCGAACGCACAAAAAATCGCTTAACGACCGTGTGACTAACTTAACAACCGCAGTGATTTCACTTAACAACGGTGGCAAGGCAGGCCCCGAAATGGGTCAAAATTCACTTTAGCCAAATGCCCCCCTTCGCAATAGAAATTTTGGGCACAGAGTGGTGGTCGTAAGTCGGGGATCACCTGTAGACCAACTCTCCCTGAGGTCTTTAAAGTAGCCAATTGAACGTAGATGCCTGCAAATGTCCCCCTTTGCAGGTAAGGGCAGATCAGGAAACAAGGGACGGTTAGAATTCCATTGTTAAAAGTGTAATGACAACATCTGTGCTGTGCCCCTCTCATACCCAAGAAAATCAAGGCTAGGCAGTCTTAACTTTCTTTCTCACTCCTTCCTCACTTCCAGGACTAAGCTGGCATCCATGTAACATCCCTCCTTCGAGGCCATTTCTGTATCCTTCCTCTTCTCTCTCCTCTTCCCAAATTCATGACTGACCTCATGAACGCAACCTCCTTCCCAAACTTGACTTTGCCAACATCTGCCGACAACTCCCACCACGGCCTGCCGACTAGGTTTTTGGTTAGAGATCAAGGTTACGCCCCCTAAATGTTTGGAGACTCATAATCAGAAAAAAGCTGTTATATCAAAGAAGTCCCTCGGTAGCAGCCGAAGAAAACTGAATGCGAGAATCATACAATTCTATAAGCACGATTGCAAACCAACCAACCCCTCGACGTTGTGTAGGAAAATCCATTAAATGACCTTCCAAGTTGTCCACTCGCTCCATGGACCTGTCTTAATTCCTGTTCACTCTAAGGGCCGCTGTAAATATGCCACTGAATATTGCCAAAGTATATTCCAGGTGACAGGCAACAGGAAATGTACAATCCTTTTCAATGCGAGTCGAAACGCTTATGTACACATACCTCATCCCATTTTATTTTATAAATAATTTTTATTACACATTTTCCAACATTTACACCACATTTCCAATCTTTACAGCGCTTCAGTATCAGTATGACTCATAATTACACACTAGTATTTTCATTTTTCTTCCTTTTCTCTTATGTACTATTCTTGTAATATTCTTACATATATATTTTGCCTTTTCACAAATACACACACACACACAATTTCCTGTCGCTCTTGGGTAACCTTTATATATAGTCTTTACATCTATTCTCTAACCACTCATACCATATGTCCCAAACCATGTAATATTCCATTTCTCCCATATCTTTTAATTCCATCTTTAGTCTGTCCATCTCTGCACATTCAAGAACCTTTTTAATCACCATACTCTCTATGGGAGTATTGTCCTGTTTCCAATTTTGTGCAAAAACGATTCTAGCCGCTGTTATTAGGTATAATATAGTATATATGAGTATAATATAGTGAGTTTACCTTATCCCATTTTAAATGTCCCTTTTGGGAGAGGGTTTTGGTCAGAGCCAATCTACTTCTGAGGCCCTTTCTGTTGAAAAATTCGTGAGGTCAAGTTCTCCAAAACTTATTCCAAAACGTGGAACTCAAGCTAAGTCTCCTGTAGACAACAGAAGACAACACATCTACCTGGAAAAACCACACCTCGATAATCAGTTACCACCTTCTCTCCATTCAGAAACAAATGTGTCTCAGTTGCCCTTTTATAGACACGATCAAAGACATATAAATCCACCTTTGCAAAGCACTTAAAGGAGTGAATCAGAGCTTTTAGGGGGGGAAAAACAAGGAAACTGTTTAAGGAGCTGCTGTGTTTAACCAAGCAAAGTACAAACAAATTATATCATTTAGATTAAGGTGTCTGGAATCCTCTGCGACATTTCCTTAATTTAATCGGCTTTTGTTCCTGGAAAGATGAAGAAGATAAGAGGAAATTTCTACTTACATGATGGCTTGCGGGTTCTGCAACATGCAAGCTTTTGGTCCAAACGTAGTGACTGGGCATGGTCCATGTAAGGAACGTGTCCTCCTAGGAAGAGAAACGGCAGGATTTAGTTCCTAACATCTCAGAAAGATGCCGTGTTGTCTTCGAGGACTTAAGAAAATTTTGATGGTCTGCAGAGAAATGTCACCCGCAAAGCAATTAATCCAGACTGTGCGGGAACACAAGGCTGCGCTGCCCACATGGCCCACGGGAACACAAGGCTTGCGTCGCTTGCATTGCGAATAACATGAGATAGTGAGGGGAGAGGGGAAAGGGCGGAGGGGGGGGACTTGCCCCACTCACCCCACGTTCCTGGCCTGGCCACGGGGCTCCTTCTTTCCGCTTCTTTCTTCTTCTGCTTTTGGCTGCATGCAAGGAAAGCAGCCAAAGTCTTTCTTTCTCTCCTCCAAACTCCGCCAGAAATGAGTCTTTCGGACCCTGCAAGGCCTCCTGCTCCAAGAGGCTGCGCCGGCGTGACAAGTCCCACAAAGACTCATTTCTGGCCGAGTTTGGGGGAAGAGAAAGGAAGAATTCTGCTGCTTCTGCTGCTTTCCTTGCATGAAGCCAAAAGTCTCTCTCTCTCTCTCTCTCCCCTCAAGAACAGAGTTGTAGACGATCCCAAATAAAGAACGATCAATCGGTAGGAAAAAGGGGTGGGGAATTTTCCTGCAGACTTTTGGGGGGAGTTTCCCAGGGTCTCTGGTCTGCGGGATTTAAAATTATGAGTTTGCTGGTCCCTAAGGTCCAAAAGGTTGGCGACCCCTGTTCTAGTCTACAGAATGGGTTCCCATCACGCCAAGACAATGCGGTGAGTTTAAGGATGTGCAGGAGAATCCAACCCCTGGAAACTATAGTTTACAGCTTAATTCAGTATTTTTCAATCTTGGCAGCTTACAGATGGGCGGACTTCAACTCCCAGAATTCCCCCAGGCAGCTGGGGAATCCTGGGAGTGGAAGCCCACCTGTCTGTAAAGCGCCAGGGTCGAGAAACATTGGCGTACGTAAGATATCAGGAGAAATCGAAATGTGGAAAAATAAAAGAATGCCAAGAAAAGAAGGAACGGTAAATAAAATATGGCAAAAGAGGCCATTTCCTGCAAGGTTGAAACATCCGGTGTCGCCATCCGAATGTTCCCGCTGGGGATAGAAATAGAAGTTTTCAGTTAGGAACGTTGTAATCTCTCAAAATGCTTTCTTCATTCCTCTTGCAGGTATGGTGCCGCAAGAATTTCTGACCACGAATTAGAAATTTTTGTCAGTTGTTCCGACAGAAGGTTACCTCCAAAGGAGGGATTTTAGAACAGGTTGTCCCGGCGCAACGAAAGTGGCTCATTTTTACAATATTCAGAGCTGACAAAACAAGAGCTGCCATTTTGGTTTGTTCCAGCCCACCAGGAAAAGAAATAAAACCGTGTGATTCCCGATCATTAAAACAATTTTAAAGACATCCCTGGAGTTGTTTGGATGTTGCAAAAACAATGGTGCACTGCTCAGAGATCTCCAGGTGTAGCTACTGTTCTGGGGTGGATCCCAATTTTGGCATGGATTTGGCCTCCGAGTGAGTGCTTGGCTTTGGATGGAAATATGGTTCAAGACAAGTGAATACGTCCAATAGGATTTTAAAATGTGCGTAACTGTTTGGTGTCACAATACAAGCAATTCAGGGTTGTTGTTTTTTGAAGGGGGGGCGGAAGATCGGTGGGGGCCATTCTTCCGCCTTATGTCACGGCAATTAAAGAAGATTACCGGCACAAACCTACCAGCATCTGTGAGTCAGGCAGCCTTACAAAACCTGACCGCATTTCCCGCCCCCATTTCCAATAATCCTCACGGGGCGATTAGCAATCTAAATGAACCAAGTGACCGGCATGCCTTGTGGTCACCAGGAGGTGATATTTCTTTGCCCCGGGGGAGTAAGAAAGCTTACCTGTCCCTAACCTTTTCACCTGTCACCTGCAGCAATGGATAAAGAACATAGGGTACGACTGAGCTGTCAGCTTGCTTCCGGCGCTGGTTATGACTTTTTAAAGCCCTACCTGGCATGGGGCTAGTTAGGGTATTTGGGGGGGACTGCCTCTCCCCAGTTATACCAACCCAATCCCACCAGATCTGGCAGAGGAGGCATCGACTAGGGCAGTGGCTCTCCACCTTTTGGGCACCAGGGACTGGTTCTGTGGAGGGTTTTTTTTTTTCCATGGACCAGAGGGGTGTGTGTTTTGGGCACTGCCTGCACCTCCAAACTGATTGGGACTTTTTTAAAATTTATTTTTTGGGGGCCAGTTTAGGAATCTTTTTAATTTATTTTGGCTGTTATTTTTGTTTTATTGTTTACGCTGCCCAGAGTCACCGCGAGAGATTGGCAGACTGTAGAAGTGTGTGTGTGTGTGTATGTGTGTGTAACCAATAAAAATAAATCATTAAAGGGCTGTCCAGGTATGCCTGGGAAAATAAGGTTTATGCTGGTTTTTAGAAATTTTGCACAGCAGAACCTGGTATCTTAAGGCAGGGAGAGTTTTGAAGCAGGTGGTCTTATCAAATCTTCTCCCAACGCAGGCCAGCACTTTCTCTGCCAGCTCGATCCCACCCCAACGTGCCGTGTCTTTGCGGCCAAGGTCAGAGTTGGACAACAGATCTTTTGTTTTGGTTTTTTTTTCTTGCACGTTTGAAGTCAACCCACACCACCTCCTTTATTATGTCCCCGCAAACAAGGAATGCCTCAGAGGTCCATGTGAGTGTGCATTTGTATGGCAAGGCAGAGGCCCTCAGGATGAGGGTTTTTTTTTTTTTTAACATCCCCGTGGTCTGAAAATGCAAAGCTCGGGTTTACACACTGCTTTCCGGGCTGAGGATCAAAGCAACACAAACTGAATTGCCCCGTTGGAAGTCAATAATGCAGGGAGATGGACTAGATGATCTTCAAGGTTCCTCCTAAAAGCCCTTTGTTCATAAGTTCCTTTCTTTTCGTGAAAGGAATTCCTTTCTCTGTTGTCAGCCTGGAAAAACATGCTATTATTTTACTTTATGTATTGTGTTCTGTTCTGTTCTGTTCTGTTCTGCTCTGCTCTGTTATTCTATTCTATTCTATTCTATTCTATTCTATTCTATTCTATTCTATTCTATTCTATTCTATTTCTATTTCTATTATTTCTATTCTACTCTATTTTATATTCTATTCCATTCTGTCCTTTCCTTTCCTAGCCCTATCCTTATCCTATCGTATCCTATATTCTATTCTTTCTATTCTGTTCTATCCTATCCATTCCTATCCTATTGTATCCTATATTCTATTCTATTTCTATTATTTCTATTCTATTCTTCATGTATTCTATTCTATCCATTCCTGTCTTATATTCTATTTATTCTATTGTATTATTTCTATTCTATTTCTATCCTATTATCTCTCTTCTATCCTATCCTATCCTATCCTATCCTACCCTACCCTACCCTATCCTAATCTACCCTGCCTTTATTATTTTTACAAATAACTCAAGGTGGCGAACGTATCCCACAAACCTTCTTCCTTATCTTTTCCCTACAACAACTCTGGGAGTTGTCTAATTGGCTCAAAGACACCCAACCAGGTTTCTAACCTGGTGCCTTACCTACTAGACTAAACCAAACTGGCTGCCTAATTAGCTTCACACCCTATTTTAATTTTTTTTTAAAAAAAGAGTAATACAGCTGCTACGGAGTAATTCCACCCAGATCATTTCGAAGGCTGCTTTAAAACGGTTTGGAGCTCTAGCGAAAAGCTTTGAGGCTGAGATTCCATAACACAGATTTATTTCCGTTCTTCTGCAGCTTCCTCCGACCAGCTCAGGGGCTCTTAGATAAGGTCCACTCTCACAGACACAGAAGGCAGATCTTCTTGAACCAGCGAAGAAGAACCGTGTCACAATGACACCAATCGCTTCCCGGCGGATTATCCCCTTAAGTAACAGGATGATGATGATGTTAACAGCTCCGAGTACCTGCACCAGCCTCTATTTGCATCGGGGTTTTCACAAAGCCGAAGCCCAAACCTTCCCACATTACTCAACTGTTTGCAAAGGGATCAAGAAACAAAACCAAGAGGAAATAAAATACTGAAAAGGGGACTTTTTCTTACAGGGGGGGAAAAAAAAGCGGTTTGCGGGATGCAAAAAAAAGGATTGAAAAGTTTGGAGAGGAGCCGTACATTAGAACATGGTTTATAAGCAAAGCGCCGTTGGTTTCTTCGTTTCCTCCAAATGGAAGGGTTTCGCGCCAGTGCTTCATCCCGGCCTGCTGTCAGAACCTCGCTGTTGGTTTACAAACCCGAGATTTACAGCCTAGGGTGTCCAGCCCGGGATGGTTTCGTGGAGGAGAGGAAAACATGGCTGGCTGGGGAATTCTGGGAGTTGAAGTCCAAATCTCAAAGTTGCCAAGTTTTTTTAAGCCACTAAGCAAAGTCATTCACTCTGTTAGGATTAAACCCTGTAAGCTCTGTGTGCACTTGTACTCTGGTTGTTTTTTTATAATTCATTTGGCACTCTAGTTGTTGGCAGCAATTCAAAGGAGAGAAAGGTGGGTGCTTATCTCGAGGGACTGGGACTCATTACATGGGAATGAACATAAATTCCCAGCGTTGTAATAAAACAAGAATTGTTTTAACTAAGCGTGTTCTTCATTACAGTCTCGGGAAGCCTTGATCAGAACAGTGTGTTTTTTAAATGACTGGATGGTACAATTAATCAGGGGACAATCATGAAGGGAGAATTGGGCTGGGCCCTGCCCTCTGTGAGAGATCCGTTCAGGATGATTATTCATAGCTCAGGCGCTTATCTCGAGATCACCACTAAAAGCCTCCCGTGATTGCGTGATCTTGGATCATGCTGTCATGTGGTACCTGAATTCTTTGGTGCTGCCCAGGGCAGGAGAAGCAGACAAACTCCGCGTCTTTGTCCGTCCTCGCAGGGAATTCGTACAGCTCCGTTCCTCATCCGCGTGACAGGTGGGGCATTGGTAGCACATGGTGCCGGGGCTTAAGTCTTCCCCAGCTGGGCCAAATGTCTCTGCTTGCAACTCCATGTTGAGAAGGAACTTGATGGAGGGAAAGGAGAGGAAGAAAAGAAAAGAAATAAAATTTAGAATTACTTTTGGGTTCATGTCCCAGAAAACTCCGAATTTAAGCTTCTGCATGCATTTAGGTATTGTATTTGTATCATCATCACTGATTGCTTATTGTTTCCTAGTATGATTTGATTGCTTACTGTACCCTATGACTGTATTAAGTGTTGTACCTTATAATTCTTGATGAATGTATCTTTTCTTTTTATGGACACAGAGAGCATTTGCACCAAGACAAATTCCTTGTGTGTCCAATCACACTTGGCCAATAAAGAATTCAATCAATCAATCATCTTTTAACGACCCCGTAATCCCTTGTGGGGTGGAGTCTGGGCAACTGAATGGAGCGGTGTTTAGTGGCCGGATGCCCCTCCCTGTCGCCAGCGTGGAGTCTTTTTTCAGCAGATATATTCCCAGAGAGAGAAATATCTGCCTCTACCTAGGATTGAACTCACAGTCTCCTGATTGTGAGGTGAGATCTCCACCTCTAAGGCCACTGCACCACTCTAGGTATTGTATTTGTATGTCTGTTTCAAATTTGCTTTTCCTTCAGGCTAAGGTAGTGAGCGACATCCTCGTTTCAAACCATGATGGCAGAGGTAGTCCTTGACTTACGACAGTTCATTTAGCGACTGAAGTTACAGCATCATTACTGCAAAAAAGTTAAGTTATGACCATTTGTCACACTTGAAACCATGGCAGCATCCCCAGGGTCACGTGATCAAAAGTCAGGTGCTTGGCAACTGACTCGTATTTATGACGGTTGCACAGTGTCCCCTTTTGTGACCGTCTGACAAAGTCAATGGGGAAAGTCGGATTCACTTAACGATTGTCCGACTAACTTAACAACGGCAGAGGCTCGCTTAACGATCATCTAGCTTAAGCAGCAGAAATTTGGGGCTCAGTTGTTTGGTCGTAAGCCGAGGACCACCTGTATTTCTAAACTGCCTTTCCTTCAGTCTAAACCAGCTAGCGATGTCATTGTTTCAAACCGTGATTGCCCAGTCCCAATACATCAGTGCTTGCATTTCAAACCGCCGATTTAAAAAAATAAATCAATCGGAGGCAGAAGTAAAAAAAAGAAAAAAGAAGTCAAAATAGTGGCGAATGATCAGAAATTTGGAAATTCCCCTCCCTCTGTGGAGGGTTTTTGTTGTTTTTTTTGGAAACCACCCTCTCATCTTAAGATAGTGCTATCTCCCAAAATTTCCTAATTCTTCAGCTACAACAAAAAGGACAGTTTTGGTGCAATTTTCTGACCAGTGTCTATTTTTATCCAATGTAAGAATGATTTGCCAATTTAGTTTGGTATACGAAATGTTATCAGGAAGGAAAAGGAAGTATGGATACAGACAAATCTGAGAGAAATATTTTGATTTATAGATACCAAAGACTAAAGTTAATTTCCTGTTAAAACAGCCTCCAGATAAGGGGTCCTTAGTGCTCCCTGAGCTCGGTTGTTTTTTCTTGCGGACCGTTTCATTATCTTAGCTAATAGCACTGATGATGTTACCTAGTTGGGTAATGAAATGTCTGCAAGAAAACCACTAACCCTCCTTTCAATCCTGAGCTGCAGATATTTTTCCTTTATCAGCCACCAGATACAAATACCAACCTATATTTATGGTTTATTCAGTGTTTTCAGCCTTGACTACGTGTGGATTTCAATTATCAGAATTCCTCAGTCAGCATTCAGTGAGATTTAATAGCACTTTTAAACCTATTGTGTCTTCCACCTCCACTGAGCATTGTTCAAGATTGAAAAATAAGGATTATCGGTATCATCAAGGCATTAAGAGACCCAGGACAGACCATGTTCGGACCCCTTCAAACAAGAGAAGTGTTCACATCTTGCACTAACATCCTACTAGCCATCTGCAAATTAGTTAAAAAGGCAAAGGTTCCCCTTGCACCTACATGCTACTTGTTTCTGGCTCTACGGGGTGGTGCTCATCTCTGTTACAAAGCCGAAAAGCCAGCGCTGTCCGAAGACGTCTCCGTGGTCATGTGGCTGGCAGGACTAAAGACCGAAGGCGCACAGAACACTTTCCCACCTAAATAGTGGTTCCTATTTTTCTACTTGCATTTTTTTACATGCTTTTGAACTGCTAGGTTGGCAGAAGCCGGGACGAGTAACGGGAGCTCACTCCATTCTGCGGCGCTAGGGATTCAAACCGCCGAATTTTCTGATCGACAAGCTCAGCGTCTTAGCCACTGTGTCCCACCGCCCACCTCAAGTTAGTTAAGACAGTGTTATTCTGAGCTGGCATTTGGAGTTTAGATGGCTGAAGATTAACTGAAGATTGCCAGATTGTGGCCTGAAGTTTCCTGAAAAGCTACAACCACCGGATTAAATAAGTGGTTCCCCCCTCGCCCCCCCCCACCCAGGTCTTACATTTGTTATAAACTGAGTGGCTTGGAAATATACAGGGAAGGCCAGCTCACGTCTCGTAATTAGCCTGGTTAATTTGTAACTCGGGGAATAAGTCACGACTGGCTGACTTCACTCACGGTGCCAAGACATAAAACCATGGTGTGTAAACCCCTAACAGCTGGGCTTCCGCATGGTGCTAATCAAAACTTCCCCAATCCCCCCCCCACCATTAACGATAAGCGTAACACACAAACATAGGCTAAGCTTGCAACAGGAGAAATGGAGAATTGACGACATTAGCTGACCTAATATGTTAAGCTGGCGTGGCCCGGTTTATTAATCTTTTGAAGATGTTGCAGTGATCGGAGGGTTTGGAAGCTGCAAGACTCCATGATTGGAACATTAAAGGATATCTAATATTTAAGACCTGACTTAAAGCCCAGAGTGGTTCCCTCCCCCAAAGAAATGGGGGGGCTCTGTAAGTGTTCTGACATACCTGGAGGCGGGCAGGCGTTTGTGGCTTGAGCATTTCATTGCTCTTCCTGAATTGCTCACCTTCACCTGTGTCCCACTCTAAAGGGAGCTAATCTTGTGAACAGTTTGAGGAAGAAAATCTACAAAAAGCAGCCTAAAATTCCCGGCCGGGTGGAGACTCAAGAGCTTATGAGGAAGTAGAGGCTCACTGCGCAATAGTAGAATATACCGAATATTCATAAAGAGAACAAAAAAATGAATCAATATTTATTTTCTTTCGTCCTCCACCCTTTTTCAATGGACAATTTTGAAAATTACTGGATCTACAGTTCATAGGAATAGTCCTATGAAAATAAATATTGATTCTATATCTGCCTATTATAGTATTTGCCAATTCTGCATCAGATTCACAGATGAATAAAACAACTATTGGCTTATTAGTACAACAGACGTATATTCTTCAGCGTCTTGATAAAATCTATTAGCTGAGCCAACTTTTTGAAATGAGAAACCCACAGACCAAACATTTCTTTTTTTCCCCTTTTAATTCAAGTATCCTGTGCCCAGATTAGAGTTAAGTAAATTACATCATGTCTTAAAGGAGCTTTACAAAAGGCAAAAACACAGTAAACAAGGAGTTAGGAAATTGCTATTAACTAGATAATAAATAGAGGTCATAAGGCTATAAAGAGTTAAGTTAAACCTATATGATAAACCCTCTCACAGTTCAATCCTAGGTAGAGGCAGGTATTCCTCTTTCTGGGCACATTTGAGAATATATCTGCTGAACTACACTCCACACTGGCAACAGGAAAGGGCATCCGGCCAGTAAACACTCTGCTAGCTCCATTCAGTTGCCCAGACCCCACCCCCTAAGGGATTATGGGGTTGTTAAACGAAGATGATGATGACCCCTTCCAACGATTCTCCTGAAATATGCCAGTAATTTGGAAGAATTCCCAAGGGAATTTCTTAAGGGGAGTTTTTGAATGGCAGTTTATTAAAAAGCAGGCGTCTCTCAAAATATAAACGCTACCGGTAGGAAAACAGGAAATCCTTTAGATTTGATCTACCCAACTGGCAGAGATCACACACTCGCAGCGGGGAGATCCACAAATCCATAAAATAAGTACCGTATAATTAGATGGTGAGGACGCTTGGCTCTCTTGATCGGTGTTTGTTTATGCGATGGGTAAAATGAAGAACCACTCTGGCCAAAAAAAAAAAAAAAAAAAAAAGGGGGTTGCGGGGCCCAAAAAAAAAAAGGCAGAAGAGAATTGGCCAATGTTAAGAACGCAGCACTTCCAGTCTATAGGATTTGTTTGTTTTTATTTTATTTATGAAAAGACATTTATATGGCTGCCAGCTCAGGGGCAATTGCAGGAATAAAACCCGAGCTACCAAACCCAACATAGATGGTGATTCACATAAAAAAAATAAAAGGATTTAATTTTAATTAAAAAAATTAAAATCAAAAATGTGAACCTAATCCAGAGGAATAAACACATTGAGGTTTCAAAGGAGAGAAAGATCCGACAATGATCCGCTCCTTTCCCCCCATAAAGATAATTGGAAATTTGAGCTTATCGTAACTTTCTTTTGTGTGATGATGTCTCCAGCTCTCTTACTTTATTACTAGCCGGTTGAATTAATTAAGGAATGGCCTATGGTTTTAATATTACATGGTTCTTCTCATAACAAGCCAAGAATTAGGAACGAGAATGGGGAGTTCTCGACTTACGACCACAGCGGAGCCCAATATTTCTGTCGCTAAGTGAAACATTTAAACGAGTTCCGCCCCCTTTTACAAGCTTTCTTGCTGCGTTCATTAAGTGAATCAGGGCAGTTGTTAAGTGTGGAAAACAACCGTAATTCCCTTTTTCCAGTGCCTTATGTCACTTCAAACAGTCACTAAACAAACTGTTGTAAGTCGAGGACTATCGATACAAGCTTGGCAGTGGGGCCAGGAAAATGCTCTCTGAAAGACCCTGTCTTTCTTCTGAATCCTTTTAAGAAATAGCTTGAATTCTCCCATCAGGAGGAAACAAAGAGACATTCAGAAAAAGAACGACAAACGGGGACTCGATCTTGCCATGGACCTCTCTTTTATTTCAATTTATTTATTTATTTTTTGGGCAAATGAAGTGGTTTATTCATCCTTTATACAATTTGTCCAAGATGCAGACCTACCGCCCTAAACCATTCAGTTCTATTTTTATCCTCCCTCAGGCAGACAAAAGAGGAGACAACTGGAGAATGTGCCATTTTTCTTCTTCTTCTTCTTCTGGCCAGCTTTTCTCTGCGCCATTTCGAGCACCTTTACAAGAACGCACACAGCTGTTTATTATTGGCTGAAAACTCAGTTTTCAGTTTCTTCACTGGCCAACAAAGAATTCTTCTTCTCCTTCTCCTCCTTTTTTTCTTCTCCTCCTCTTCCTCTTCTTTTCTCCTCCTCCTCCCTCTTCTCCTCCTCCTCCTCCTCCTCCTCCTCCTCCTCCTCCTCCTCCTCCTCTTCTTCTTCTTCTTCTTCTTCTTCTTCTTCTTCTTCTTCTTCTTCTTCTTCTTCTTCTTCTCTCCTCCTCCTCCTTTCTCCTCCTCCCTTCTTTTCTTCTTCTTCTTCTTCTTCTAGGACGCTAGCCAGATGAATACCGATGAATGCTGGTAGGCAGAGGCAGAATCCCCCCCCCACCCTTATTTTCCTCCCCAAAACTAAGCCCAACCACACAGTTTTGTAGCGAAGCACAGGTATCGAGCCAGTAAAGTGATAAAAACCAAAGTTCATCCAATGATACCGCAAGAAAGACTGAATCAAACATTGGGTTTTATTGCAGTCATTCAGCTCCGGCTTTTTAGGCGTCGTCGTCTTACTGCTTGTAATTTGAACTACAGCGTAGTAAACAAATGGGCAGAGAGGACTGAAGAATTTCTTCACTTGTTCCAGTTGCAAAATCTTCGCTTGCCGAGAAACACAAAAGAGGAAACTGCAAGACCGAAATGTCCTTCTCTTAAGTACGGTGGTTTCTTGTTTATGTTATTTTTCTTGCACCACTCAAAAACACAAAAGGATGGTTGGAATTAAAAACAGGCATGTGACTTGAATCAGGAATAGGAATGAAGTATGTGACTTGAATAAACCTCCTTAAAGCTAAGCCAACTGCCTGGTTGAGCTGGGCCACATTTACTGAATAACCTGGAATTGGCTGGGCCGACCACAACCTAAGTTAGAAACCCTGTTTTTTTACGCACTTATGGATGAGATGCCCAAATGGCAAATGATGTTATGGCTCTGAGTTCTCCCAAGATATGAGGTAATCAGGGTTAGCTCCAAGTGAGTCATCATCCCTACACACCCCAAATATTACAATTTTTTTGCAACAGCCTTGCTTTAAGTCATCTTTGAAATTTTGGACTTGTTGGATTTAGCCTTGCAGATTTTATTCACCCTCTGCCAAGGCAGATGGTAACACAATTCCTGTCTGGTTTGCTAAATGACCAGCTCAACAAAATTCCACTTAATGGTTATTGGGTTTTTTTTTCATAATACTTGTACTATGAAACTGCGAACAGTTGTGTGTCCAACTGTGTTATTCTAATTTTTCTAAAAGGTAAGATAAGATACATCTATAGCATTCCCATTATCTATTACATGGGTATCTCTATCACTTGCTCAATGACTGTTGTCTCCTACAAACAGGCTCTTAATTTCAGTTTGTCCATTTATAGATTGGAATTATCCCTTTATTAATTGTACCCCATGGAATTTTGAAGTCTTACTGCCGAAAGCACTATAACTATTTACTTTCTTTAAATGACTGGTTGAACTCCCAAATAAAATAATACACTTTAGAAGATCTACGACTGCACGGAAATGGATAAACTCACTCAAAATTAAAGGATAAAAGACACAAAAGATTTTACAGTTTGGGAAAACTGGTATAATTGGATAAAAGATAGAAACCAGCAAGTGAATAGGATAGGGAAGGGAAAATATATAGAGATTATAATAGGAGTATTAACCAGATAGAGGCGATAAGTATTAGAAAATAGTCTGATAGGAATATACCGTTTAAGTAATTAGAAATGTATATATGCATGTTTTATGTTTATTGGTTATGTTCTTTCATCTTGGTTTTGTTTTTAATCGAAATGTTTTGTAATGTGTAAATACTTTTTAATGTTTAATAAAGTTTATTTAATTTTTTTTTTAAAAAAATACACTTTAAAGAGATAGAAAAGGATATTTGACAAAAAGTGCTCGCTTTTGCTTCTTTTGTGAATCTAGTCATATAACTGGTTGTGTTATAATATCCTATTTATTGGACTGTGAATTTTTAAGATAACATTCTCATTCTTTCTGCAAACATTCCAGGGCTAACAAAAGAGCCAAAAATGATTAGACTGCATTTTTAGAGTCAAAACAACAGAGTAAAGAAAATCTGATAGGTGTCCAAGAAAATCCATTATTTTGTAAGCAATGAAACAAAGGATAGAACCAGTTATGAAATGATGGACAATTACAGCAAATACTCGCCAAGAAAGAAAGCTTGCAAAAGACTTTGGACATGGCACCTCTTTTCTGGAAATCCACTATTTTTTTTTAATTAAAGATTTTTTTATTTTTGTTTTTAACATATCTCTTTGCATGAGCAACGTAGTTCCAGATTACATTTACACATAGTCATAATTACATTTCCATCTATCTTATTTAATATCACCTCAAATCATCCACTGATCTTTAAATGAATTTCCATTTCATATTTCAATTCATTAGTTCAATGTCTATATCATTTCATCCACACATATATTTTCAACTCTTTTATCCCCTATTATTTCCATTTTCAGCTTACCACCCATTTTACTTTATATTTCATTATCATCCTAAGCTTTCTCTAGATCAATATATAATAAACAATCAAAAAAGAGTAAACATAAAACTAATATGTTTAGGATCAACATGGTATATCCCTCCAATCTACATTATATCTTATATTTAATCCAAAGGTGTGCCTATAACCATTCCATAATGGAATGGAAATCCGTTATTTTATTTATATCCTTATATCATTTATTATGGTCTTTCACACAGTCAGGCAGATGTTTAGACTGGATTTGGCATTTTTATCCACCTATTAAGTCCTTCCCAGGGATCTGAAAAGGCAGATGTTCTTGTTTGAAGGTGTCAAATATATTGATTATTATCTATGAAGATTCTCAATCATCCAGGTCTTGATTGTCCCAAAGGGGTTTTTTTTTCCCCAAAAGACAACTGGACTTTCTTAGTTTTTTTTTTTTTTAAATTTCTCTGAAAACCTTTCACTTCTGAACTGAAGAAACTTCCCGGATAAGAAGCGAAATGTTTTTCATTTTTTTTTAAAAAAAGCAAGAAAATCCACTCATCTTTTGGGAACAAAAGCACCTTTGGGATGTCAATTATGACTTACGTTAAAGAGTTATCATCCGGTACATTTGAAAATGCATTTCGAGAAAGTTGAATGTCAGGAATTATATAACGCAATCATGTTTCATAACTACACACACAGGCTGGCTGGGCTCAGTTGATGCAAATCCCATTCGGAGGAGGAGGAGGAGGAGGAAAAATGAAAGGCAGCATTTTACATTACACAACACGTTTAATTGGGGATTGAACTCATTCCCATCATGGTTTGCGGAACCCTTGACTAACTAAGCAGGTTTGGAGTTGTGCTTCATGCAACAAAACAGCCCCAGCAAAGCTGAAAAGTAACCAGGCAGGTTGTGTGTGTGTGTGTGCATGCAATTCAATGCAATGCAGTGCAATGCAATGGTGGGCAGGATGAGCCCCTTAGCTTGGGGGAGAAAGCCCGGTTGGTGTTGGCTGGGTGGATGATGGGTGTTGTGGTCCAACAGCAAAGGTGAAAACTAAACAGGCAGGTTGTGGTTGTGTGTGTGTGTGTATGTGTGTGCAATGCAACGATGGGCAGGATGAGCCCCTTGGAGAATGGGGGGGGGGTAAAGCCTGGTTGGTATTAGCTGGGTGGATGATGGGAGTTGTGGTCCAGCGTCCCTGGGGAGGTGGGGGGAGGAGACCAAACTGCATTGGCGGGGAAGGGGATCGCGGGCGCCAGGTTGGGGAAGGCAACTTTCCCCGGTCCCAGCCTGTTGCCCCTCCATCGCTCGGGCCCGCCCCTCCTGCTGACGTCACTCACCCTCGCGCCCAGGCCCCTCCTCCTCCTCCGCCGCTGCTGCTAAGTCTGAGCGCCCCAGCGGTGGGCCTCCTCACAGGCCTCCCGCCGCTGCCGTCGTCGTCGTCGCCGCTCGCCGCGGGCGCCTCCAGGCAAGCGAATCCGGCCGAGGGCGGCCGCCGGCGCGGAGCCCGCCACGCACCGCCCTCATTCTCCGCCCCTCGGCCCGCCTCAGCGCCCTCCCTCCCCTCCTGAGGGAAGGCTGGGCGCTCGGAGGCCCTCTGGGCGGGACGGGGGTGTGACGTCACGGTGAGCCTGCGCACTCACGCCCCCCGGGTGGCCGAGAGAGCTGTTTAAAAAAGATAGAGGGGCGCGCGGCGTTGCGTCGCGAGTCCCTCCTGCCTTCTTTCGCTGCCTCCCCCCCCCCCGGAAATCAGATTATTAAAAATAATTTTAAATATTAAAAAAAATTAAAATCTTCCCCACTTCTATTTGTATTCCTAATTCTATTTCTATTCCTAATTCTATTCTATTTCTTATTCTATTTATATTCTATATTCCATATTCTATTCTATTCTATTCTATTGGACTCCCATCTATCAGAAATGGTGTAGGGTCTCCTGCTTGGGCAGGGGGGTAGACTAAATGACCTACAAGGTCCCTTCCAACTCAGTTCATCTGTTATCTGACTATCTGTACTTCAAAACTTCCCAGGATAGGATGAACTTGGTCCCCTTTAAGATCCTAGGAAGCTAAAATTTCAGTGATGCTGTTCCTTTTGCGGATCTTTTCGGTCTTACAATATTAACAATCTCATGGAGTCTGCAGACATGAGTGGCAGGCCCTGAAAATTGACAGTGACATGAACGTTTTGCATTATAATGTCACAACCCTGTTGGCCCACCAACTTAATTCAATGAATTTAGAAGGTTCAACGCCAAATCAGAATTCTGCATACTAAATTCTTATTACAAGACCACAGATTTATGGCAACTGTATCAATGCCCTAATTTCCCTTTTTGTCTTTTTTTTTTTTTAAATACAGCGCTAATTGATTTGCGTTATTCATATGCTCTCAGTGACAAAAATAGTCTGCCAGTTGACTGAATAAATTGAATTTTATTTTGTTAAACTGATAAGGGATGGCCACTATCAAATACTAAGCTGAATCTTACATCATCAGCTCCAAATAGGTTTGCAGCCATATCAAAATTTCTTATGATGAAAGACGAGAGTCAAAATTCATAAAGGAATTTTTTTAAAATTTTTGAAAATGTTTGTGTGTGTGAAAAAAGAGACAGACATCCCGATCTCTGGAACTAAAAAATTATATTGCTCACTAAGCTTTTGTTAGCCTCTGCTAACATCGTCAGTGTAAAATGACAGTTAAGGAGATATGTGCTATGTAAGATACCTCCTTAACTATAGTTTTAGACTCTGACGATGTTAGCAGAGGCTTAGTGAACAATATAATTTTTCAGTTCCAGAGATCGGGATGTCTGTCGCTTTTTTCAGTTTTACCTGGAACTCGTATTTTTAGAACAGTCTGTAATGTGTGTGTGTGTGTGTGTTTCAAAAATTCATATCTAAACTTTGAGAGGTTTAGACAAAGATAGCTGATGCTACAGACTGAGATACACACATACACAAAAAGAGATCTGGCTAACCAAATTCTGTTCATTTCCCCTATTAATTTAATGTGCCATTTACATCTGGCAGCTGTCAGATCCAAATGACTAGGAATTTGCAGATGCATTGAATATCAATAAGACTTTGTTCTCTCCTGTCTGATTCATACATTAATATTCTTTTCATCTACAGCTATATTTATACCTGTAAGCTCCAGCTGGCAGAGAACATCGGGTGTTTTGGAAAGCATTTGGAAGTGAAAGAAAGAAAGGGGAGAAAAAAAAGGCCTCTTTGTTGCCAAGCTTGAAGGCCTACAAAGGGACTGGAAGGCCAAACAAATAAAATTTATCCCTTAACCATTGTCACTCTTAAAATAAGCAAATAGTTTTCCTCATTTTCCTCAAAAGCCCTTCTCTTAAGGTCGTCAATTGAGAATAATTTGGTTGCTAATTAATTGATTTATAGTTTTAGCCCCATTGCAAATAAGTCACTAGTCCTCATGTACTTTTACTTACTTCTTTACTAAATAATTTAATTATTTGCTGTAAGAATCAAGCATGCCGTATCACTCCAGCTGCCAAATGAGAGAACCACAAAAGTAGCCCAAAAGAGAATTGATAGATTACTTGATACTTGAAGAGAATACAATTAAATTCAATGCCTTTGTCATTGTACATCATATATACAACGAAATACCTACAGATATTTACTAAAAATGACTCTTGGAGAAGGAGAGAACCCTAGCAATCCCTCTCCACTTCCTCAGATCCTAATTGCAATTTCTCTTTTTTTTCCTTTTTCTTCCCAAAGCTACTTCTGTTTATCTTTAAAATAGAAAATAAACAAAAGATTATTTTTGGTTTGCAAAATTCTAGCTTTCCAGTCGCTTAAGCGTTGAAAGGGTTCCCTCTAGTGGAGCAAATGGGTAAGGGCATTTTAGATTTTTTTAAAAAAAAACCCACTTCATTTAATTAAGATTGTTTCATTTAATTAAGAATATGTTTCTTAGATTAAGAAAATAGTTAATTTTTTTTAAAAGAGTGGGGTTAAGCTAATGGAATGTGAAAAAAAGATTTTATAATTGGGACAATGCCAGAATTTGAGATCAGCATGTTTACAAAAAGAGAGATTCATGGAATTCACATTTGGGGATTTTCCTAATTCTGCAAAAAAAACTTATACAGACCTTTGTGTATAATGGATGATTTGTAAACTTCCTTCAGTTTTTGAAAAATGGATCTATGTCTCCTGAAACCATTGTGGAGGGAATATAAATAATGATCAATATTGATCACTAATATCGGTATCAAAATCTGTCTCAGGAATTATCCTTATTCCTATACAAATCAAAGGACATTTCTAAAGCCACCAAATCACACTTTAGAGATTTAAAACCTGCTAGATAGAATGATTTTTAACAAAACAAAAATGAATTTTATTTTTAGATAGATTTCATTGGACAATGAGTCTCTATCCCCTCGTAAACCATCAAGTGAAGTTTTTTTAAAAAAAAATCTAACCCAGAAGTGTACAAAAAAAAAAAGGAAGTGTCTATAGCTTGAAATGTCTTAATGCAAAGAAGAGGCGTGTTGCCAACTTTGCACGAACCAAGAAACTAATCCGTTCGGGCTGGATGGGAGACCACCAAGTGATCCCCAGTTGGCGAGACAGGAAGAGGCGTTGCAGACAAAGGACGGGACAATCAAATCACCCAGATCTCTTTACCTTCTCTCTTTTCCATTGGTTTCCCTCATGACACAATGCCAGAAGAAACCGATCATTTTATTAAAAAAAGGAAAAAAAAAACGGTTACGAAAAGCTACTGGGCAGAGAGAGGTGGTTTGAATAAGCAAACATATAATTCCTTGTGAAAGCAAGGGTGACTCATCCTGGATCGCAGCCAGGCTTCCTACTCCGTCTCCTGGAAAGCTTATTTTCTCGGCTTGGCTGCCGCTGCAGTTTTTAAGCCGGGGTTTCAAGTCCCTTCCTGGGACCACAGCGGAGATGCCACCCCTCCAACTGCGTTTAAAAAGGCTGGGATTTTTTTTGCACCAAAGAAACCAATTTCTTTTTGAGAGCAGATTCCAACTATCAAGGCCCCGGGGAAGGGCTGCAGAGTTTGCGTCTCTCCCCTTGGCAGAGAAAGAAAGGGTCAAGTTCCCTGTTTTCCCACTCTCTTGGAAGTGAGAAAGGTAATTTTGATAATAAATATTTTGATTTTTGCTCTTCTTCCAGCCAGGCAACCATGCCTTATCCAGGATCACTTCAGCTTCTGTTCATTTTTTTTCAAACATTCAGATTAGCTCAATCGAGCTCTATGGGGGGGATGTATGAATGCATCACACAAAAACCACATTTGGGAATTCGGGAATTCCTTTTCGGTTTTCCAGTGGCTTGGCCAAGATCGACGATGTCTGCACAACATGTGTTTTCTCTGGTCCCTTCAAGGTGCAGGATTCCAGCACCCATCATCCTTGCCTAGCAGGCTCGAGGCCTGTGCAATTAGCCATGGACTTGGTGCGCCCCCACTTTTAAACAAACACAAACCTAAATTATTTTAGACTGCTAACCGAGACTGCAAAACTCTAGTGAGGAATCCTTTTTGCAGACAGCCTAAAAGAAAATAAAGACTTGTAATTTCAGTCAACAAAAAATAAGCCTGTTTATTTTGCACAGTTTAGTGCCAGCTCCCCACTTCACGCTTTCTCAATGGCTTGGCCTCAAAACGAAGAGAATCCAAGTTTAGTTCTAACCCAGTTTAGTGGCTTGTGAGATCACACACTTCAAATCTTCTAATTATAAACCCGCATTACGGATTACAGAAGGTGCACAAAAGGATCTAATTATACACAAAACTTACATCACACACCAGATACTTACATGGGGTCCCACGATGACTTAGCTAACAAGACCAATAATAGTTCCTCTGTACTTTGGGATATAGAACTGAGTTCCAATCCTGCTCTGTGCTGGACCGTAATGTGCTGTACAACCCAAACACAGGAAATTAATCGTGCTCATTTAATCACATTTCATCTAAAGCCAGCTGGTTTGGCTTAGCATGTGATTATGGTTGCAAACCATATGGTTACGGCATACAACATTTTTCTAGAGGAACCAGGCCACTCAACAGCCGTGTTTCCCTGAAGAACAAAATGGTGCTTCTGCTTCCAGCAAAAACCACAAGGGCCTTCCGACAATTTCATGACAAACTGCTTTATTACATCTTAAATAACAGTACATTTTAATATAGGATCTATCTTGCATCCAGCTTTCTTGAAGTACACCGACTTTAAAATTAAATACAAAAAGTGAAGGAATCCGGGGGGTTGGGGGGTGCAGAGGAAGCTCTATAGAGATTTATCTCAAGGGAAGGGTGGGGGCAAGGGAAGAGGAAAGAGGGCTTTTAAAAAAAAAAATCCAAAAAAGAAAGAAAAAAGAAAGAAAAATTCAAGATGCCAAATCCAGGCCTTTAAAAATAAAAATGCACGATTACAGCACGTTTTGTACAGAATGTTGCAAGGGGGGGGGGGGGAAAAGAGGGATTTTAAAAAATCACTGCTTTTTTTTAAAAAAGGGGGGGGAAGGGGAAGGGAAGGGAGGAGAGGAAGAATTGAAAAGTTTATCCAAACCATTTGCTGTCTAAACGCTCATCAACTTTCAAAATGCAAAGCGAGAGGGGGAAAAGGGGCTCGATTGAAAGAGTTTCGACACCCCCCTTTTTTTTCTTCTTTCTCTAGCTTTTTGCTTTCAAATTTTTCTTTTTGTTTTTTAAATTGGGGGGAGGAAGGAGGAGCAGGGGGGAGAAACACGTTATTAAAAATTAAAAATAATGACTTTTATCACCTTACTTCCAGATGTGCAAAAACCAAAACCCAAAAAGTCTGCATTCTTCGGTGGAATCCATTCTTACGCACACACACCACCCCCAGTTAAGCGGCAGTAAGGAACAATCAGCAATGATGGCTTTCTTTCTTTTTTTAAAAATTAAAATAAAATAAAATAAAAAAAGGATGAGGTTAATTTCTCGAAAGAAAACACAAAGAGAAGGACATCTTAGTTTTATTATGCACTTCAGCATTTCTACAGCATGCGGTTCTAAGAGTAATCCAACCCACAATTGGCAAATCCCAAACATTTCCACCCCCATTTGCACCTTTCTATCATGATCGTTTTAATTTAGAAAAACCTCAGATCACGTTTCTCACTAAAAAATAAAAACCAGATTTGGATCTTGCTTCAGACCCAGCCAAAAAGTTCAACTGGTGGGGAGTTTCCCCCCCCCCCCCACTTTTCCCTAGCCTTGCTCCCGAAACCCCAAATCCACCAAATCTGGCTGTTTACAGAAATTATGGGATAATCTTCGGCGTTAGTCAATCAAACTCAGCAGATAGGAAATGAAGAACTGGCCCACGGGGCGAGATTGGGCTTGGGGAAAAAATAAAAAAGAGGGAATTATTATTATTATTATTTGTTACCCACAGAAGTGAAAAGATTTGCTTTTTTTTCAAACATTCAATACCATGTACAGAGTGTGCTTGCTTGTCTTCTTAACATTATCATATATATGCAATATTTGTGCAACGATTTGTGACATTAAGACAGAAATTAAAAAAAAAAGAAGAACAATAATAAAGAAAAAAAGAAAAGAAAATCCAGGGAGTAAATTTACAGCATTTAACAACCCCAGAAATGCCTGGGTTGGGACTCCTTTCTCTTGGCTCAAAATTAGACCGTAAGAAGCAATTTGCAATTTCTTTTTATAAAAAAAGGGAAAAAGGCAATGGAAACGTGGGACAAAAAAAGAGGGGAATATACCGATCTTGCTACGAATGTGACTTCTAAGTTTCGAAAATGAGATTAAAACGAAGCCTTCCCACCATAAAGTCAGTATGATTTGCCTCTTTGTTTTTTTTTAAACTACAGTGAAATTTAAAAGGTTAACTTTGCTTCCGACAAGGTGTTTTGTTTTTTTTCCTTACTTAGTTATCATATCATTTTACTTCACTTTAAAGTTTTGCCTGGGCATG